TCTGTCTGTCTGTCTGTCTGTCTGTCTGTCTGTCTGTCTGTCTGTCTGTCTATCTATCTATCTATCTATCTATATCTCTATCTATCTATCTATCTATCTATCTGAATCTAGTATGCGCATCCATACGCCCGGTGGTCAACTGAAGCCGTGCCTGCCTGACAGACGGTGGTCAACTTATGGAGTCTGGCAGACGCGGAATGGTTGTGTGGATGCTATGCTTGGCCTTTTTGGTGAGCGTGGATGCCAGGGAAGCTGCTTCAAGCAGCGATACCTGGGAAGGGCTGGAGTTTCTCACGGCCTCGCAACGGGCCGTCGATTTAGGAACGGAATTAGCTGATTCCAAACTGCCATTGCCGGTGGCGGTTGGTTCTACAGCTGCGGCTGTGTCGTTTGATGTGGATGTGACAGCTTTGTGCATCGCAGGCTAGATAAAGGACGAGTGGGATGCTCAGTCCGACTTTCTGGGTGTGTTTGGCATTGTCACGTCGGGCATCTTCCAGTCTGCTGTCATCAGTGCCTCAGATCAGCCTACCGGTGATTGTGGACTAGGTGTTGGCTGTTCTTTGGAATTGAGACCTCTCCCATCTGGGAAGCTGGAGTTGATAAGTGCCAGTGGTGGAGGAGTTGAGAAAAAGATGAACCGGGCAGAAACATGCGCGGCATCACCAGGCTTCATGGAGCACCCAGACGACAATTATTTGGTTGGTACGACAGACTTGGTCACCTTAGTTGGGACACTGGAAGATTGCCGAAGGGAATGCAATTTGCGGGCTGATTGCGGGCTCTTCGTACATGGTGAATCCATGGGCTTGCTGTACTGCTTTATTAAGCGCCTTGACGCCACTTTTGACCCGGTCAATTTGGTTGCCAGACCAGCAAGTTTCTCGAGCATCACAACCAATGTGAAAGTGGCAAGTCGGCCTGGGGCGAAAGTCACAGTCACCTTGGTTTCGGTCGTGGGCGCTTCTAGGGGTTCAGGCTTGTCCATGTCTGCTCCTTTCCAGGCTTCCGGCTTTACTTTTTCCGGATTGGAGCTCTTTACTTGCTCCGGATTGATCGAGAGTAACATCATCAGGGACGCCGGGACCACGGGGTTGGCAGCGTGTTGCATTGGCGCCCCCCTCTGGTTGCGACGCCACGGTAGAAGTATCAGCGCCAGTTGCCTGGGCGGAGTCATCAAGTCCAGATTTGGATTTGTTTCAATGGACTTTGACCCCTGGCCGAAACATTCGCAGGACGATGACTTCCACGCTCTTAGAGGATGCATCAGGCAATCATCAGCTAAGAGTCTACCTAGTTTCCGGGCAATCAGCGGGAGCGCCGGTCACTTGGGAGGTGCCGGATTTGTCACCACCGGTACGGCTGACCAATTGCCCCATAGTTGCAGGCTGGGCGTCTTGCAACTTGGTCTGCTACTCACTCTGTACGGCGGCGCAGACAACAGGCCAAGATAATCTTGTATCGGCCTACAACATGGGAGAATATGTGGGAGAGTTGGGCATCCAGAGGCAATTTGCGAAGAAGGAACATGAAGCAAAGAAATTGTCCCAAGCTGGATTTGCTCAGGAATGTCGAGAAGCGGACATTTATGATGCAGCCGCATTGGGTCCTGCTTGTACAGAAGCCTACTCGCCTAAGGCGCTGGAATGGAGTGTTGTCGGCAATCGTATGGGCCTTCCGTCCATGACTGATTTCGAGACGGCTTTTTCCGATCTCAATGAATTGCAGAGGAGGACTCGAAAGGCGTTGACTGACTCCCTCCCTGAGGCCTGTGTGCTCATCACGGTCCTTGTCATCAACATTTGGGCTGCCTACCATCAGGTGGGAGTGGAGGCTTTGAGTGCCTGGAGCTTGCTGGTAGTGGTGGTCTTCACCTGTGCGCTCATTGCGACTCTAGGAGCCAGTGTGTCGTACTACCATGGTTTGTTTATCATTTTGTCGGTTGCCATTTCCAGTTTTTATGCGAGGCAAGGGCAAGAGCCACTCAACCCGGTTGAATGGTCCTTGGCCTTCATTGGCCTCGTCACCAACGCGTTTGCTGACCTTTCTGCGAACGATCACCTTGTTGTGATCCTCACTGCATTCGCAAACCTTGCGACGTTGGCGGCCATGGCTTTGGGTCAGACTGGCTCACGCCTTCACGCCCAGCAACAGTTGGCCAAGCTCTTCGCTCGGTATCGCCCATCGAACACAGCCGTTCGGGCTCTTGTCCGAACGCGATTCGATTACCAACTCTATGCAGTGGTGTTTCGGGTGATCAGAAGGCTTGGCCCGATTGGGTTCTTGAGCAACATACCTGTTTTTCTATCCGTTTTTTTGACGTTGTTCATTCATCTGGTGGGTTTGTATTCTTTTTGTGCTACGCTTTTGCCAGACTCGATTTGGCGCCGCTTCAAGGATGGTGAAGTGAGCTGGTCAATTTTTGGACCCTTGCATGGTGGTTCCAAGAAGTTGCATCGAGAAGCCTTGTCTAGTGGGGAAGGTGGCAACCAGGCTCGTGTGAGCCTTGTTGTGTTGACCATGATGCTTTGTCTTTTCTCTGTGACGTTGGTTCTCCTGAGCCTAGTAGTAGGTGTTCAACGGTTCAATGGAGTGGACTGGGGGGAGTCAATCAACGTGATTCAAATCAAGGCTCAAGCGGAGAGCCTAGTCCGCGCTCCGAGGGAGTTGAACATTGGGGCTTGGACTTGCCAGCCGGTGCGCTTTTGATGGTGACCAACCAAATCATTAGGCACTGCGGCTTAACGGTTGTACCGTGGGTTTATTTGAACATTGTTGGTATGGCAAAACGCCAACCGCCCACTGGTTGCTGGCTCGTTCAACCTGCAGATTCATGAAGCTAGTTGGTCTTGGTTATGCTGACGGTGACCAACTGACGAATATCAGCAGTTCTTTTTCAATCCGGTCCGGCGACTTGCCTTCAAAGACGGATTGTACAGTGTTCAGTAGCGTCAGCAACCGTATTTGGGGATGAGAGAATGGTGTAATGGCATACTGGCGCGAGCTAGCGGTGCTTTCAACCCATTTTTGGCAGCTTGTATAGTGTATAGAAATGCTGCCTGTTAAGGCATGACGCCAGCCACCCACACGTAATCACGTCAGTTAAGAGCAACAAAAAAAAAGCCTCCCGTACCAAGCTGTCCATGAGCGGACAATCTCCTCGTGGCTTCCTCCACCGCCATGTCCCGCCTATGTGGATGCTGGTGGTCGTGACCTTCCTGGTCGCCTTTTCTGCCGCACCCACTGACCAGCACGAGAAGTGGGCAGTTGGTACGCTCGGTCCCAAGTCCGAGAGCCCTGACCAGCTTGAACACGTTTTCCTTTGGAGCTTCAGGGCTAGAGGTGAGGGTTGGATGATGGCCCCGCATCATCCTGGAAGGGAATTGGTTTTTCCTCCTTCCTCTTTGGTTCCCCCTGAAAGAAGGGGCATAGGGCGTGTAGAGTCCCACGGGACAAAAGTCCAAAAACGAAGCTACCAACGATGCCAAAGGAGGCTCGAACGAGAAGGTTTTGCGGTCTACAAGGGCCGGCATGGAGTGGTGAGAGTTGCCTCACCCACGTGTCCTGCACCTGTCCGCCTCCCTGCACGTCCTGGAGATTCTCGGAGACAAAGGGCTGCGGTGTTTTGTTGGAATGCACAATCCCTGACAACCACATATGTTGAGTTGCTTCAATGGTTGCATCACCAACAAATCAGCTTTGCACTGATCCAGAGCACTGGCTGGACATTGACCGAACCTTGGACATCGTAATTATGGTTTTCACCTCATCCCGTCTCCCTCGGTGGGACGGGGAGGGGGTGGTCTTCTCACAATCGTTCGAACCACAGTATGCCATATGGATGCCCTGAGTTTTCAGGACTGGGCCAGCGGTCGCTTGCTGCACGTTCGATGCTGCCTCCCGACAGGAACGGTGGACCTGGTCAACTTTTACCAATGCACCACTGGTGTATCCCAACAGCGTGCGGATCCCATGAAGGCCCGTGCCCACCTATGGGATACACTGTACAAGGTCATCCAATCCCTCCCCATCCGCAACACCCTGCTGTTAGGTGGAGATTTCAACACCTCCTTGGTGTCCAAGCGAGGCTCAGTGATGCAGGATGTATCCCGCTTTCGCAATTTGATACATGATCTTGGCCTGGTGAACTTGTGTAGCCGACAGGCGGTCCCTAGCTTTGTGGGCCCTCAAGGATCATCGACCATCGACTACCTCTTCATGAGGAAGATCCAAAGTGACCGTGTTGCCAGTGGGGCTGTTTGCCTGCCTCACTTTCCGTTGCTCCAGGACCGGGATTTTCCTGATCATCGACCTCTTCTCTGTAGCATCCCACTTGACTCAAAAACCTGGTACAGGAGCACTGGGGGCAAGGATCACCTAGGTCGCTCTATGTCAACCCACACCCGCCGGTTGCATCAGGCCATGGCGCAGGATGACCCTCGATGGCACACCTTTCTGGAACAGGCGGCCTCCACCATTCATTGTACTCCCACGTGTCAACCAGAAAAACTTGTGGAGACATTGGTTCAACAAAGTTTCATGGTTGTGCATCCGCAACGAACTACACTACCGCTGTGGGCTGAACCCAGGTCTACATCACTGGTTGCCAGGAAATGGAAGCATCTCCACTGGGCTCGACAGCGGCATTCCTGCCTGCGTCTAACCTCATTGCGGGCCTGGTGTCACTGGATGAGGTTTCGCAGATTGCGCAAACAATTGAGTCAGCATTGCAAACAGACCAAAACAGCTCGTATACGGCAGATCACCTCCACAGCTGCCAGGGCTGCTGCAGTTCATGACACTCGGGCACTCTACGAAGCTGTCCGGCAACTGACGCCGAAACAGGCACGCCGGGCTATTCGCTTTCAAGATTCTCATGGACTTCTTCAGGACCCCCAACAAGAGCTTACATGTTTACAGGTCCACTTCACGAAGATCTTTGATGTGCATTCGGATCCAGTCATGATTCCGCAGTGCATGCCTTGGATTCCATCAGAAGCTGACCTGTGTCGCCAACTCCGCCTGACGAAATCCTTGAAAGCTGTTGCTCCTGGCGCCCTGCCAGGTCTAGTGGCCAAGAAGCTAGCACCGGAGCTAGCCACCTGGTTACATGCCTATTTGACGACACAGTGGGGTCCTCACTCTGATGTACCTCAACTGTGGAAAGATGCCTTTCTCACATTATTGGCCAAGCGCACAGTGCAGAGCCCGGCTGACCTTAGGCCGATTGCCCTGACATGCTGCCTGGGCAAGGCGGTGCTTGGAGCCTACATCGAACAGGCCAAAACCTACATGAATTCATGTATGCAGCAATATCCAATATTCGCCTACTTACCGGATCGTGGTGTGGCTGAGGCTTTTATGTTCGTTCATGATTTCTGTGACCAAGTTCGTACTGCCTGTCAGGTCAACAGACCTGGCCCCTGGCGCATCACGCAGGCCACCTTCAGTGGAGGCTTGATGCTCTCCCTGGACCTCAAACAGGCCTACGGTCGATTACCACGCCATTTTCTTGCCAAAGGATTGCAGCATTGCGGTTGTCCTGATGAGATTAGCTTTGTCCTGCTCAGCTGGCTCACTGATGCCAGGTACCATGTTCGCCACCGTGGTCTGAAAGTGAGTGTTCACACCCAACGTGGTGTCCGGCAGGGCTGCAGAGCGTCTCCTATTGAGTGGACGGCTTTTTTGGTCTATTTGTTGAACAACATTGGACAGGGTCTTCAAACACCAGATTGCTCTGCATTTGAATGGATTTGCAACCATTTTATCACAAAGGCTGACGATCTGTTGAGCAAATGGTGGCTTTCCTCGACTGCTGATTTTCGCTGTGCACTCATGGAAATAGGACATATATTGGATTGCATTGAACAGCATGGCTTGGTCATTTCCTTTGAGAAAACAGTGGCATTACTCAAGATGGAAGGCCGTGGTGTCCGCTCTCTGATGAAACGACACACCTGCACGTTTGAAGGACATCGATGGCTCATCATTCCCAGGGCCAGTGGTACCAGTTATTTGAAAATTGTTGCTGTGCACACTTATTTAGGCGCCTGCATTTCCTTCAAGACTTTTGAGCAAGCCACTGTTCGACACCGACTCCATCTAGGTCGCCTAACGTATCAACGTATGCGCAAGTGGTTCACTGGCAAGCATGCTGTCACTAGCAGAGACCGTGCCAGCCGTGCCAAGCTGTGGCGCACGCGCATCCTGTCAAGCTACACCCATGGGTTGGGCAGCTGTGGCCTGAAGCAGGAGGGCTTTTATACCCTATGCCATCGGATCCATGCCGACGTCAGAATTCTGGCTAGATCTCCCAAACATGTGACTCATGAGCCCACATCAGACATTTTCACACGACTTGATCTTCCTCTGCCAGAAGTGTATTTCCAGGACCGTTGGAGGGCTGATTTTCATCGGCTACATCGACTACAGGCAACTCTCCCTGGCACGGATTTCATGCACAGATTACCACTCCACAGGATTGAACACAAAGTCATGCATACTTTCGCTGCATTGCACACTGCAGGCATGCAATTGGAGTCTCAGCCTGAGACAACCCCTTTGCAGGCCTGTCCGTACTGTGACTTCGTGGCTCCGACAGTTGCACTTGTTCACAGACACCTTGCCAAACGTCACAAAGCCCATCCTCTATATGTTCGTTTCGACATTCTTCGGGATGCCCTGCATGGCAAACCTCAATGTTCGCACTGCTTGACATGTCTAGCGCACTGGACTGGGCTGGTTCACCACATTGAGCATGCCAATTGTCCGTCCTTTGATGCTCATCGATCGTTGCAGGTACCACTTTGTGATCAACCTGCTCTTCGTGCCCTTATTGCCAACTCTGCCTGGAGCACGGTGATCTCTCAGGAGGACTATGGTGAGGCCCTCCGATCCACGTGTGTTCTATGTAGCAGACACTTCGGCATGGGCAAAGACCTGTTGATCCACCTGGCCAAGAGCCATCATAGCCAATGGCAAGACTCCAAGCTACTGGTTCCCAGCATTCATCCGGACTCCCCACAGCCTGGCCCTTGTTGGGCATGCCGCACACCCTATCAGGGCTCTCACAACTGTTCAGCGGTCCGCCAACTAGCTGTGTTGAAGTCAGTAGTTGATGCTGGGCACACTTCGAGGGAGATTCACCCTGCACATCCAGTACCGGAGCAGCTCAAGCGGCGCCGGAAAGGCATGAATGCCCG